ATGTGCAAGATTATTGTCTACCTTCTGCAACGGATCTCAATCTGTGCCAGATCAATGTATATCCACTGCATCGGATATCACGCAGAGCCAGATCGTTGTCAACCCTCTCCAACGGAACTCAAGCAGTGCCACATGATTGTCCACCGACTGCAACGAAACTCAAGCTGTGCCAGATCATTGTCTACCCAATGCAACGGAACTCAATCTGTGCCTCATTATTGTCAATCTGTGCCAGATCATTGTACACCCACTGCATCGGATCTTGCTCTGTGCCAGATCGTTGTCTACCCTCTGCAACGGAACTCAAGGTGTGCAGGGTCATTGCCTACCTACTGAAACGGAGCTCAAGCTGTGCCAGTTCATTCTCTTCCTAGTGCAACGGAACTCAAACTGTGCCGCATCATTGTCTACCTAATGCATCGGAGATCAAGCTGTGCCAGATCATTGTCTCCCCACTTCAATGGAACTCAAGCTGTGCCACATCATTCTCTTCCTAGTGTAATGGAACTCAGTCTGTGACAGGTTATTGTCTACCCACTGCAACGGAACTCAACCTGAGCAACATCATTCTCTACCCACAGCAACGAAACTCAAGATGCGCCACAAAATTGTTTACTTACAGCAACGGAATTCAAGCTGTGCCAGATCACTGTCTACTAACTACAACGTAACTCAAGCTGTGGTAAATCATAGTGTACCCACAGCAATGGAGCTCAAGATGTGTCAGATCATTGTCTTCCTACTGCCATGGTACTAAAGTTGTGCCTACCCACTGCAGCGGAATTCAAGCAGTGGCACATCATTGTCTACCCATAGCTGTGAAAGATCATTGTCTACTAACTGCAACGGAACTCAATCTGTGCCAGATCATGGTGTACCCTCTGCAACAGAACTCAAGTTCTGCCACATCACTGTCTACCAATGGCAACGGAACTCAAGCTGTGCCAGATCATTGTCTACTAAATACAAAATAAATCAATCTATGCCAGATCATAGTCAACCCACTGCAACGGATCTCAAGCTGTGACAGATCATTGTTTACCCTCTGTAATGAAGCTAAACCTGTGCCTCATCAAAGTATACCCACTGCAACAGAACTCAAGCTGTGCCACATCATTGTCTACCTAATGCAATGGAACTCAAGCTGTGCCAAATCATTGTTTACTAACTGCAAGAGAACTCAATCTGTGCCAGATCATAGTCTACCCACTGCAACAGAACTCAATCTGTGCCAGATCATTGTCTACCCACTGCAACAGAACTCAAGCTTAGCCTAACCATTGTCTATCTACTGCAACGGAAGTCAAGCTGTGGCAGATCATTGTATACCTTATGTAATGAAGCTGAACCTGTGCCACATCAAAGTATACCTACTGTGCTGAAACTTAAGCTGTGCCACATAATAGACTACCTATTGCAAAGGAACTCAAGTTCTGTCAGATCATTGTCTACCCGCTGCAACGACGCACAAGCTTTGCCACATCATTGTCTACCTACTGCAATGGAACACAAGCTGTGCCAAATCTTTGTCTACCCACTGCAATGGAACTCTAGCTATGCCACATCAATGTTCGCCAACTGCAATGGATCTTAGGATGTACCAGATCATTTTCTACCCATGACAAAGGAACTCAACCTGTTCCAGATCATTATCTCCCCTCGGCAACTTAACTCAAGCTGATACAGACCATTGTCTACCCTCTTCATCGGAACTCAAGCTGTGCCACATAATTATCTACCTCTTTCAACTGAACTCAAGCTTTGCCAGATCATTGTCTACTTGCTGCAATGCAACTCATGCTGTGCCAGATAATTGTCTACCCAGTGCAACGGAGCTCAAGCTATGCCTTATCGTTGTCTAATCACTGCAACGAAACTCAGTCTGTGCTAGATCATTGACTACGCACTGCAACGGAACCCAAGCTGTACAGGGCTATTGTCTACCTACTGCAACGGAGCTCAAACTGTGCCAGATCTTTGTCTACCTACTGCAACAGAGCTCAAGCTATGCCAGATCATTCTATACCCACCCCAACTGAGCTAAAGCTGTGCCAGATCATTGTCTACTTAATGGAACGTAACTCAAGCTGTTCCAAATGATTGTGTACCCAGTGCAACGGAACTCAAGCTATGCCACATCTTTCTCTACCTGCTGCAATAAGGCTCAAACTATGCCAGGTCATTCTCTTCAAACTGCAACAGAGCTCAAGCTTTGCCTGATCATTGTCTACCTACTGCTACGGAACTGAAGCTGTGACAGATCATTGTCTACCTACTGCAACGGAAGTCAAGCTTTGCCAGATCATTGTCTACCTATTGCAATGGTACTCATGCTGCGCCAGATCATTATCTACACACTGCAATGGAACTCACACTGTGTCAGATCGTTGTCTACCCTCTGCAACAGAACTCAAACAGTGCCACATCATAGTCTACCCACTGCAATGGAACTCAAGCTGTGCCACATCATTTTCTATCAAGAGCAACGGAACTCAATCTGTGACAGATGATTGTATACACACTGCATCGGAACTCACACTATGCCTGATAGTTGTCTATCCTCTGAAACGGAACTCAAGCTGCTCCAGATAACTGTTTACCTACTGCAACAGAACTAAAGCTATGCCAGATCTTTGTCTACCTACTGCAATAGAGCTCAAGCTATGCCAGATCATTCACTACCCACTGGAACAGAGCTCAAACTTTGCCAGATCATTGTCTACCTCCTGCAATAGAGCTCAAGCTTTGCCATATCAATGTCTACCTACTGCAATGGAACTCACTCTGTGCTAGATCATTGTCTACCCACTGCAATGCAACTCAAGCTGTGTCAGATCATTGTCTACCCAGTGCAACGGAGCTCAAGCTGTGCCTCATCGTTGTCTCCTCACTGCAATGGAAACTAAGCTGTGCCAGATCATTGTCTACTTACTGAAACGGAACTCAAGCTGTGCCAGGTTATTTTCGACGTATTGTAACGGAGCTCAAACTGTGCCAGATCCTTGTCTACCCACTGCAACCGAACTTAATCTGTGCCAGATCATTCTTTACCCACTGCAACTTAGCTCAAGCTTTGTCAGATGATTATTTACCTACTGCAGGGGAGCTCAAGTTGTGCCATTTCTTTGTCTACCCACTGCATCGAAACTTATGCTGTGCCAGATCTTTGTCTACCTACTTCAATAAAGCTCCAGCAATGCCAGATCATTCTCTACCATCTGTAACGGAACTTAAGCTGTGACAGATCGTTGTCTACCTTCTGCAACAGAAAACACTCTGTGCCAGATCATTGTCTACCCACTGCAATGATACCCAGGCTGTTCCAGATCATTGTCTATTAACTGCAATGTAACTCAAGCTGTGCCAAATCATTGTCTATTCACTACAATGCAACTGAAGCTTTGCCAGATCATTGTCTACCCAGTGCAACGGAGCTCAAGCTGTGACTGATCGTTGTCTACTCACTGCAATGGAAATTAAGCTGTGCCAGATCATTGTTTATTCACTGCCACGAAACTCAAACTGTGCCAGATCATTGTCTACACACTGCAACGGACCTCAACCTGTGCCAGGTTATTGCCTACGTACTGCAAAGAAGCTCACACTGTGCCATATCATTGTCTACCAAATGCAACGGAAATCAAGCTGTGTCAGATCATTGTTTACCCACTGCAACGGAGCTCGAGCTTTGACAGATCATTGTTTACCTTCTCCAGTGGAGCTCAAGTTGTGCCATGTCTTTGTCTACACACTGCATCGGTACTAAAGCAATGCCAGATCTTTGTCTATCTACTGCAATAAAGTTCAAGCTATGCCAGATCATTCTATACCCTCAGCAACGGAGCTCAAGCTCTGCCAGATCATTGTCGATCTACTGCAACAGAACTAAAGCTATGCCACATCTTTGTTTACCTACTTCAAGAGAGCTCAAGCTACGCCAGATCGTACACTACCGACTGAAACGGAGCTCAAGCTTTGCCAGATCATTGTCTACCTACTGCAACGGAACTCAATCTGGGCTAGATCATTGTATACACACTGCATCGGACCTCACACTCTGCCAGATCGTTGTCTATCCACTGCAACTGAACTCAAGCTGTGCAAGATCGTTGTCTACCCACGGAAACGGAACTCAAGCTGTGCCACGTTATTGTCTACCAACAGCAACCAAACTCAAGCTGTGCCAGGTCATTGTCTGCCTACTGTAATGGAGCTCAAACTGTGCCAGATCACTGGCTACCACATGCAACAGAGCTTAAGATGTCAGAACATTGTCTATTCACTGCAATGTAACTGAAGCTGTGCCACATCATTGTCTGTTCACTACAATGCAACTGAAACTGTGCCAGATCATTGTCTACCCAGTGCAACGGAGCTCAAGCTGTGCCTGATCGCTGTCTACCCACTGCAATGGAAATTAAGCTGTGCAAGATGATTGTCTACCTACTGCAACAAAACTCAATCTGTGTCAGATCTATGTCTACTTACTGCAACGGAACTCAAGCTGTGCCAGGTTATTATCTACGTACTGCATAGGAGCTCAGACTGTGCCAGATCATTGTCTACCCACTGCAACGGAACGCAATCTGTGCCAGATCATTGTCGACTTACTGCACCGGAACTCAAGCTGTGCCAGGTTATTGTCTACGTACTGCAACGGAGCTCAAACTGTGCCAGATCATTGGGGCTCTGGTGGCCTGGTGGTTAACGCTCTCGCTTCACACGGTGAGGGCCTGGGTTCGATTCCCAGCCAGAGTAGAAACATTGGACGTGTTTCTTTCCACCTGTTGTCTATGTTCCCCATCAGTAAAATGGGTACCTGGGTGTTAGTCGACTGGTGTGGGTCGCATCCTGGGACACTGACCTAAGGAGGCCTGGTCACAGACCGGGCCGCGGGGGCGTTGACCCCCGGAACTCTCTCCAGATAAACTCTCTCTCTCCAGAAACCCACTGCACCGAAGCTCAAGTTTTGCCAGATCGTTGCTTACCTACTACAGTGGAGCTCAAGTTGTCCCATGTCTTTGTAAACACACTGCATCAGAACTCGAGCTATGCCAGATCATTGTCTAGCTACTGCAATAGAGCTCAAGCTGTGCTAGATCATTGTCTACCTACTGCAACGGAATTCACTCTGTGCCAGATGATTGTCTACCCACTGCAATGGAACTCAAGCTGTTCCAGGTCATTGTCTACTCACTACAACTGTACACATGCTGTGCCAGATTGCTGTCTACCTACTGCAACGGAACTTAATCTGTGCTAGATCATTGTATACCCACTGCATCGGATCTCACGCTATGCCAGATCAGTGTCTACCCTCAGCAACGGAACTCAAGCAGTGCCACATCATTGTCTACCCAGTGTAATGGAACTCAAGCTTTGGCGACATCATTGTCTACCTACAGCAACGGAACTCAATCTGTGCCAGATCATTGTATACACACTGCATCGGATCTCACGCTGTGCCAGATCGTTATCTGCCCTCTGCAACGGAACTCAAGCTGTGCAAGATCAATGTCTACAAATTGACACGAAACTCAAGCTGTGCCACATTATTGTCTACCAACAGCAACGGAACTCATGCTGTGCCAGATCATTGTCTACCCAATGCAACGGAAGTCAAGCTGTGCCAGATCATTGTCTACCCATTGCAGCGGAAGTGCCACATCATAGTCTACCCACTGTCCCGGAACTCAAGCTGTGCCACATAATAGTGACCCTACTGCAAAGGAACTCAAGCTGTGTAAGATCATTGTCTACCCACTGCAGTGGAAGTCAAGCTGTGCCAGATCGTATTCTACCCACTGCAACAGAACTCAAGCTGTAACAGTTCAGTGTATACCTACTGCAACGGAACTCACTCTGTGCCAGATCATTGTCTACCCATTGTATTAGAACTCAAGCTGTTCCAGATCTTTAACTACTCAGAGCAACGGAAGTCAAGGTGACAGATCATTGTCTACCTACTGCAACGGAACTAAATCTGCCCCAGATCATTGTATACCCACTGCATCAGATTTCACACAGTGCCAGATCGTTGTCTATTCTCTGCAACGAAACTCAAACAGTGCCATATCATTGTCTACCCACTGCAACAGAACTCAGGCTGTGCCACATCATTGCCTACCCACAGCAACCGAACTCATTCTGTACCAGATTATTGTCTACCCAGTGCACCAGATCTCAAGCTGTACCAGATCGTTGTCTACCTTCTGCAACGGAACTCAAGCTGTGCAAGATCATTGTCTATCAACTGAAATGGAATTCAAGCTGTGCCAGATCATTCTCTTTCTAGTGCAACGGAACTCATGCTGTGCCAGATCATGGTCTACCCAGTGCAAAGGAACTCAAACTGTACCACATCATAGCCTACCTACTGCAACGGAGCTCAAACTGTACCAGATAATTGTCTATCCACTTTAATATAACTCAATCTGTGCCAGATCATTATCTACCCAGTGCAAAGTAAGTGAAGTTGTGCCAGATCATTCTCTACTTACTGCAACGGAATCCAGTCTGTGCCAGATCATTGTCTACCCACTGCAACGGAACTCAAGAGGTGCCAAATCATTGTCTAATTATGCAACAGATTTCAATGTGTTTGAGATCATTGTCTACCTAGTGCAAGAGATGTCAAGCTTTGCTAGATCATGGTCTACCCACAGCAATGGAGATCAAGCTGTGCCAGATCATTGTCTACCTACTGTCATGATACTAAAGCTGTGCCACATCATAGCCTACCCACTGCAACGGAACTCAAGCAGTGGCACATCATTGTCTACCCATAGCAATGGAATACAAACTGTGAAAGATCATTGTCTACTAACTGCAACAGAACTCAATCTATACCAGATCATGGTGTACTCTCTGCAGCGGAACTCAAGCTGTGCCACATCCTTGCCTACCCATAGCAACGGAACTCAAGCTGTGCCAGATCATTGTTTACTAACTGCAAGAGAACTCAGTCTGTGCCAGATCATAGTCTACCCACTGTAACGGAACTCAATCAATGCAGGTCATTGTCTACTCACTGCAACTGACCTCAACTGACCTCACTGCAACTGACCTCTACCTTCTGTAATGAAGCTGAACCAGTGCCACATCATAGTCTACCTACTGCGCCGGAATTCAAGCTGTGCCACATCATAGTCCACCTTCTTCAAAGGAACTCAAGATGTGTCAGATCATTGTGTGCCCATTGCAATGGAACTCAAGTAGTTCCAGAGCATTTAGTACCCACTGCAACAGAACTCTAGCTGTGCCAGATCAGTGTTTATCAGCTGCAATGGAACTCAAACTGTGGAAGATCATTTTCTACCAATGACAACTTAACCCAAGCTGTGCCAGATCATTGTCTACTCATTGCAACGGAAGTGAAGCTGTGCCAGATTATTGTCTACCTACTGCAACGGTATTTAAGCTGTGCAAGATCACTGTCTACCTACTGCAACGGAACTCAATGAGGTAGATCATTTTCTACCCACTGCAAAATAACTTAATCTATTCCAGATCATTGTCTACCCACTGCAAAGTAACTTAATTTGTGCCAGATCATTGTCTACCCACTGTAACGGAGCTCAAGCTGCTTCAGATCATTCTCTTCCCACTGCAATGGAACTCAAGCTGTGCCAGTTAATTGCCTTCCCACTTCAACGGATCTTAAGCTGTGCCAGATCATAGTCTTCCCATTGCAACGGAACTCAAGGTGTGCCAGATTTATGTCTACCCACTGCAATGCAACTAAAGCTGCGCAATATCATTGTCTACCCACTACGACAGAACTAAAGGTGTGCCAGATCATTGTCTACTTGCAACGGAATTGAAGGTGTAGCACATTATTATGTCACATCATTGTCTATCTATTGCAACTAAGCTCAAACTGTGCCAGATCAATGTCTACCCACTGCAATGGAACTCAAACTCTGCCAGATCATTTTCTACCCTCTGCAATGGAGCTCAATCTTTGTGAGATCTTTGTCTCCCTACTTCAATGGTGCTCAAGCTGTGCCAGATCGTTGTCTACCTACTGCAACGGAACTCAAGCTGTGCCACATCATTTTCTACCTCCTGCAACGGGTATCAAGCTTTACCAGATCATTGTTTACCTACTGCAAAGGAACTCAAGCTGTGCCAGATCATTGTCTATCCACTTAAAAGGAACTCAAGCTGTACCACATCATTGTCTCCCTATTGCATCGGAAATCATGCAATGCCAGATCATTGTCTACCCATATTAGTTGAACTGAAGCTGTGCCCGATCATTATCTACCCACAGTAACGGAACTAAAGCTGTGCCACATCATTGTCTAACTACTGCAACGGAACTCAATCTGCGGCATATAATTGTCTACATCCTGCAACGGAACTCAAGCAGTGTAAAGTCATTTTCTACCTATTGGAATGGAGCTGAAGCTCTGCCAGGTCAATGTGTACCCAATACAATGGAGCTCAGGCTGTGCCAGATGATTGTGTATGTAGTGCAACGGTACTCAAGCTGTCGCCGATCATAGTCTACCTACTGCAACGGAGGTTAAGCTGTGCAAGATCAGAGTCTACCCACTTCAATTAAACTTAAGCTGTGCCAGATTAATATCTACCCACTGTAACGGAACTCAAGCTGTGCCAGATCATTGTCTACCCACTGCAACGGAACACAGGTGGTGCCAAATCATTGTCTACCTACTGCAACAGAATTGAAGCTGTGCCAGGTCATTACCCACTCACTGCAATGGAACTCAAGCTGTGCCAGATCAGTGTTTACCAACT